CCTCCGCGCCGCGGCGCCGCCGCGCCGCCCTGGCGCGCCTCGAGAGCAAAGTGCTGCTGCTGCGGCAGGAGATGGTGGGTGCCGGGGCCCCCCGGGTGGGTGCCGGGCCGGCCCGTTCGCGCGGTCCTGCCCTGCCCGCTGCGCAGCCCGCCACCGGCCGCTGCTGTCGCGCAGCAGGTGCTGCGGCTGCCTCGTGCCGCGCAGGGCGCCGGCGGCGATGCTGCGCGGGCCCCCGTGCCCCCGTTTCTGAGTTAGTTATTTCCAAGCCCGCGCGCGCCGTGGGTGAGAAAGGCGCCCGGCCCGCGGCCCTGGCCCTGGCCCCGCCGGTGACTCGCGCCACGGCCCGGAGCGGCGCTGACCCCGCCGGCCGTGGCGCCTGCCGCCCCCCCGGCGCGCCTGGGGGCCGCTCGTGCCGCGGCGAGCGGCCGTTAGCGGCCGTTGGCGGCCGTTAGCGGCCGGCAGCCCCACGAGCGGCGTTGGCGGAGGCGCCGCGCCGCCCGTCCCTGCTCTCTGAGCTTTAACCTCGCAGCGTTTGCCAGGTGCGCTGTGCAGCGCGTGGCGGGCAGGGCCGTGCGGGAGAACGGATGGAGCAGGAAAGGAGACAGGTGCTCTGCGTGGACGTGCAGGCACCGCTCGGCCTTGCCAGGGCAGAACGTCATGAAATGACTTATCCCCATCRCTTCCTGCTTTCATGCTGGGCCCGTTTTCACCTGCTTCACACGTGAAAATTCAGTGCCGTGACCTCCACATCCCTCCTGCTGGCTGCCCGCAGTGTGGACACTTCTGTGCGCCTTCTGGTCCTCSCATCCTTGGTCACTCCAGTGCTTTGATCTGTGATTGCCCTCCTCCGCGGTGGGACTCCTTGCTGTGCCCTGTGACGGGAGTTCTGCCTAGATCCTCTCCCGCGTGGCTGCTGTTCTGCGTGTGCCACCCAGGTCCRCTCTCTGGTAACTGCCCCTCCTAAACGGTGAAGCAGAGGAGCCCTGTCAGCGTCCTGCTTTGTGCTGCCAGCTCCTTCCCTAACACAAAGCCTAAAGTGAACTGTTGTCTTTGCTTCCCCTCTGCCTGTCTTAACAACACTGATGGACTGTTCTTGCTCCCATGGATCTTTATGTTCTTCGTTAGCCTCTATCCCTTCTGCAGTCTTGTTTCTTCAGTGTAAGAGCAATATCTCTCCCTCAGGTGAAATTACCCTGTTGCAAAGTGGAAGTTTGGGCATGTGGTTTGATTTAAAGGTGATTTTTATGGGCCTATCTTCTCTTTCCTGGCCAAAACACAGAGATAAATTAATCTTTAGGTCTTATCTGCCTTAGTCTGAGTGTAGGGATCTGTATTTAGCCTCATGGGGTGCTCTGTCTTAAAACAGTCAAAACTTGTTATTCAGCTTCTTTTTATTTAATTTTATATTTGTAGTATATCATTTTATGATTTTAATGTAATTAAACTTTGAGAGGTCTATAATATGAAGAAAAGTAGTTTAGATCTCATTCAGTGATAAACAGATACAAAAACAAGGACAAAATAAGTGGTTTTGAAGACAACAGGTCACCTGTAAAGCTTCTGTAGTTGCCAACTTCTGCAGCCTCTTCTCTGAACTTCACATGGACAAATCACAGCTTTCTGGCTTAATCACTTCAGGCTTGGGACAAGCCTTTTTATTTGTAAAGCTACATTATTTAGGCTCTTCTTTCCTAGCTGTGTATGGACAACTTTAGCGGTTGGTATGCAGTACCTAGATATCTGAGGCTGGCCAGTTCCGTGTTCATGTGTTCATTTTAATTTTTGTTGTTAATTAAGATAGTTTGGAATGAAATGGGTATCTTCTATTTCTTTTTTTTTTCCCCCTTTAACTTGGCTTCATACAGGTTATGCAGTTATGCAGCTCAACATTTCTTCTCCCTTCAGCTGTTATTGTCTACTGTGCCCTCATTGACAAATTTCAGCTAAACCTGACAGATATTTCATTAGCATGTTTTGACCCTCGGTCACTGTATTTAACCTGTAACTGTATTAACACTATTTATTTGGGATAGTCATCCCAAAGCTATAGGTAGTTAACTGTGTTCCTTTATCTCATCCTGATTTGTCTGTTACAAGATACCTCTGTGCTCAGCTGATTTCCTGTTTACAGCTCTTCATATTAGATAATGAGGCAACAACCTGTGTGAATCTTTTTACAATGCCTGAGAGTAGATATCAAACCTTATCACGGGGAACTTGTCGTCTTCCCCGTGAACGAGTTGATTCAATTGCACAGGAATGGAAAGAGGTAGAATTTTTGTTCATTTTAAAAACAGAGGACCTTCTTTGCTGACATTGCAGAATTTGTCCTTCAGAGTTGAAGTCGTTCATTCTTCTAACCAACTAACATATCTCAGAAGAAAAATTAAGAAGTGAGCAACATCTGCTGGATGGTCCAGCTAAGTGGTAGAAGTTTGGACAGGGCTACCTCACCAAGATGCCATGTGCTTGGAAGAGGATGAAGGGAGTTACGGAAGTGATTACCTATCGTGTGTCATCTGCTGCAGGAGCCTATCGGGAGATAAGCACACAATCACGCTCATCTCTGACTTGGAAATGATGCTTTTGGCTGTAAGCTAAAGCACCTGAGAGGGAGGTGGTTAGTGTGGGGAAACCCAGTGTCGCTGACTCAAAGCCTCAGGCTTGCATCTTGTTTCCTTAGTTTGCTTTTCCATCCAAGAGCACTGTTCTATTTCCCCAGGCCTTGTTTTGCTGTAGTCGGTCACACTGTACATAAATACCCGTGGGTTATCTTTCTTTAAAGGGTGGACCTAGTTGGCTAGGCCTCCTTGCCCAGCTCTGCCTTGTGTTTTCCCAGACAAATTTGTGTGTGTGAGAGATCTAGGAGGGGACTGCACAGCATCCTGAAAATACCTGACGTGTAGCCCCCATCAGCTAACAGGAGCAGCAGGCTGTGATTGCCGAGTGGGTCATACCCACTGTACGCACTTTAGTAGACTTAGAATGGGATGAAAACCTCTTACTAGCATCTTAGTAGCAGATAGGAAGTTCATCCCATCCCAGCAGCTTAAACTGCTCTCTCTCTCTCATGGTATTTTAGGTAAGTTAATATATTGGGGAGATTCATAATTTCTAATAGCTGCAACCTGCTTCTGGTATCTTGTACCTTAGGGGGTTCATCATTCAGTGCACACATATTGTCACTAACACACTGCAGTAAAAAATGATATTAATTCTGAGGCCTGGACTGCTACTGCTGCTGCCTCATCTCCGAATCACAAGATCTGTTACTAATCAAAGCAAGATTTTCTTACGATTCTCTAGTATAGATTTTTTCCACAATCAACCTGTTATTTCATCTCAAATGCTTAAAAAAATAAACAGTGTAGTCAGTATAACTTAAGTGCAATAAAAGAATAGTATACTTTGCCTAAGAGTGTTTCAGGCAAAAATGTCTATTACATTTTGGAAGACAGGGAGAATTAGTGTTGGAGCATTAATCTTGACCATGTAGTAGCTTTTAAATGAGTTTTTGAATGACAACACTCCTGAGGATCAAGTATAGCTAACAAGTTCAACCCGGCCAAACTGGTATTCTGAAAACAGCTGTTTTTAGGGCGAGGTGCTAAAGAAGTGGAAACAATCCTATTGCCAAGAAACTGTATGTGCAAGAATTAGACTGAAGCTCCGTGGACAAAGATGTACTGCCTATAACCAGTCAATAATTGAACCCTTTGCTCTCTGTCCTGCTCTAATAGTTCAACTTTGATAATTTGGTCTAAATATTTTTGAAAGGCTAATTAAAACACAGCATTGCCAAAAAGAAGCAGGACTAATAGTGCTTTGTACTGACTGGAATTAAGGCAAATGTGTTAATTATACTGCTCTCTCCCACTCCCCATTCCTAGTGCATATTCATTAGCCTTTAAATGAAGGTGCAAGCTGGAGAATGTAGTAATTCTGCTTTACTGAATTCTTAAAAGTTTGAACAACTTCAAATCCACGTAGGTTTGTAAGATACACACTTGGGGGTCTGCCTGTATCAGCTTCTCTACAGAAGCTTTATAAGAAGTAAACAACTTGTCTTGAACATCTTTAACACTTGCGCTAAGTACAGGCTGCTGCATTCACTTGTTCTGGATGATAACATCAGTTGACTTAATTGAAGCCAAGATCTGGTTCAGTGTGTCTAGTCAGCAATGCAGAGATGTGTATCAGATTGTAGTTTCCTATTAGATTAATTAGAAATTTTACTTTAAAACTTGATTGTAGATAAAATCTTAAATATAAAATTACTACAGGCTAAGCCTTAAGGCTGTGTAGGAGGGTTTGATTAACCTTGATTTCTTGGTGAGCAGTTATTCAGTGAATTCTTACAGCGAGGATCCTCACAGTGCTGAGAAGGAATACACTTCACTGAAAAAGCTTTTAACTTTTGTTCTCACTAAAAAGTTTACTTTAATATGTTATTTTCATGCTGTGGTGGAAGAGTTTGTAATCTTGTAATGTAATATAGATCAGATATTTAATTTGGACTGAAATATGAGGACTGATTGTGAACAATGCCATTACCCCAACATGGCTTTAGCTGATTAGTTCACTGGGTGTTAGGGAAAAAAGTAAGTTATTTAAAAAAACTAAATAGCTAAGTCTGTGAGACTTTTCATGTGTCCTTCTTGTTAGCGATGTCTGGATGTTGGTAGTTTAAGGTATTCAGTGTTGTTGCCCTGTGGCCTATGATTGTTTTCAAGCACAGTTTTGAAGTATTATCTTCATCAAAAAACTTCAACTATTGCCAAAGGCAACTGTAGCACTAACACAAAGAAAAATAAATAAAGCTTCAAGTTTTGGTCATTTCAGCTATGCAAAAGTGTTAAAATTCAAGCAAGAGGTTAACAAATAAAATAACTCTTTAATGCAGAAGATAGGATATTCCTGCACATCTGTACTTGGCAGTTAAGAGAGAAGAGCTCATGGTCTTATCCAGATGAATGGTGACAAACCACATCCAGCTAGGAAATCTTCTGTGCCTGCCCTGGCCATGGTAATGCTGTTTATGAACTAATCTTGCCTTGCAGCTGTGGTGCTGTCT